CATGATACCTAGTGTGTAAAGAACTAAGGATAAGATAATTTGGACGAACGTTTAAAAAATTTGAAATATCAGTTTCCCGAAGCCCTCCGACCAAATATGCTCGCCAAAGAAAAGATAACAAAAAATGGCTCCAGGAGAGAATTTTAGGATTTCCAACTTTGCGAGTCAAAATTTAATCTCAATTTCTTACATGTCGCAAACTTTTTCTGTTCTAAGGAATCTTCCCCTCTTTTTGTTGCTTGTCGAATTCGAAACATCTGACCGAGGACGAATTTTCTGTAATTTCTTCTATCTTCTCAATATGAGATTTTTTTTGATTGGCTCTGCGTCACAAAAGTTTGTTAAGCTGGCAACACCTTGATTCTGCTTCAAATTACATGAGACTTTCTCCGCATGCAGTAAACTCATTTTAAGCGTGGAATAAAATTTAATGACTTCCTTAGAATAGAAAGTTAGCAGTATAAATAAGAAACGATACTTTTCTCTAATTCCTCCTCCTTGGTTTGAAAAAAAACTAGCCACCGTTAAGCTGCCAACAGAAGCATATAGAAGTTGGCTTTTATTTCAACGAATGGACACGCATGTTGTCGATGATTTACTCTGTTTTTTTTTTTTTCGATCAGCTTGGCTTAGTAGCCTACTAATGATTTGATTTGCGTCTTTAGGTCATGCATCTTTAAGTGATATATCAAGTAAGACATGGAAATAAATTATTAGCTGTTCCATCAGAAAAAAACCCTACAAGTAAAAATAGAAAAACAAAATTCAGAGCTACAACTGTCTTCAGTCTAAATACGTTCAAGAAATGGAATTTGTGTAAACAGTGCAGCAACGGGTGAAGTCTGTTAATCTGAAGCAGTAATTGGAAAAAAAAGAAGAATTGTATTATGTTACCGATCTCAGCAAAATTACCCATATCAGTCAATATATTGTTAGCATGACAATTTTTTCTTCGCCTGATAAAAAAGTCATGTGTTTATAACAAAATTATCCGCGGAATCATGACCCGACAACTGGTAATTATTTTTTTCTTTGCCTTACGTGTTTTTCGGTTTACTAGGAAACAAAAAACATAACATCAAGTCTGTCCTAGAAACATTGTACATGTAAATAAAAGTAAGTGACAACATTTCAGCATTTGTAAATAAGTCACTTTTAAATGTGTTTTTACGAGTTGAATTTTGTGAATGAAATATCGAAAATTTCGTAAATCGGTGGTCATGTGTGAGGAAAAACTACTGGTATTGAGTTTTTGTTAGAGATTATTCATAGAGGTCGGTGGATTGCGAGTAATTTCAAGTGATGATTTTCAGTTGTATCCGTAAGCAAGTTACCTTGGACTTCGATTAGCGTAAAAGCTTATAGGGCAAGCTGTTCAAATATTACTAGCCATTCCTTGGCTACATTCTCAGTAGGAAAATAAGACAGTGAGAAGCATTCGAAGGTCTGTGGCAAGCTGAATAAAAAATTACTTCGTAAAATTATCTTCGCGGTCATCTCCAAACTGCAAAACATTACGCAGATTGAATATTCTGCATCGAGAGGTACGTTACTGATGTCTCAGTGAACCCGTGATATAAAGCAGTTATCAAAATAGAAGGTTTATAGTAAAGCTATTTTAACTTAACGGAACTTGATGCGCTCGTAAACTGAAAGAGTTGATTTCTGGGGATTCCAGTCGACTTCCTGTTTGTGAATGATGTGTTCTCCAAGCACGGTCACACAAGACTACTCCACATTTCCGAAAGCAAAATAGAAGGAAAAAATAATACAGTCGAAACTGTATATCGTAGCACCGTATTAAGCGGCCACCCTATATCAATTAGTGGTTGGTTGTCAAAGTCCCGAAATTTTTTTAATTTCCACTATTTTTCATTTCTGTCAAGCGGTCACCTCTATTAAGCGGTCGTGGTCACCTTTGATCAAGCCTCAACCGCCTGTTTTATGCTATTAAGATACATGAAAAAATTACTCAGTTCTGATTGGTTAAGATAAATGCAGTTTTCAGGTAATTCAATGACTATAACTATTTAGCCGGACTTAAAACTTCTTTGCGCCCTTAAGATGTGAAAATATCATTGTATATTATTCTTTGATCGTGCGCGATTGTTTTGACCGAACACACAATGTCCCTGCAGGCTTTGAATAAATAATTCTTGCACTTGACGCGTGCGTTATGCTTCTGCATAATTATGATAAGCTATATATTATTAATACGTAATCACACGATTTTTCCCGTTCAATTTGGAATAAATAAGTACTTGCAAACTTTTTCAAAGACCACAAATTGCAAACAAAGTTTGTTAGTCTTTGAAAAAAATTTACCCGTGCTTATTTATCCAAAATTGCTCTCGAAATCAAGTGATTACCTATACTAAGGTTGACGTAAAGAACTGGTCATTATTTTTGGAGAGCAAGGGGGAAGGGAAAAATAGTTTGGAAAGATGAACATTTCAATGAGCTCCCTACGCTTACTGCCGTTCTTGTTACAGAGCGAAAAATCAAAATTATTCGTCTACAGTTAGTTGCCTGAATAATATTATTCCACTTCATTTTATAACGAAAAGCAAACTGAAGCTCTGTCTGCTCTTCAATAGCCCGTAACGAAAGACATACTGCGATCTCGAATAAGAGAAGATACATCAACAAGAGGAAAGGGTAATATTTCAAGGAGGGCTCCTTACCTATCTGGACTTTTCCCTCTGTGTGTGAAATACGTGATCAAATGCAGGTTGTTGTTGCGACTGGATTAAGTCCAAGATAGCTGAAGGCCAATTTTACTCGCAGAAAAAGTCAAAAAGAGGGAGAATTGCGTGAAAAATCCATTATCAGAAGCACTTAGTTACATGTGAATTTTTTCAGTGGAGTCTGTTTACTTGGAAATGACACGAGATGAAGCAAAGTCTGATTTGGCAAAATGAATTTGATTGGTGTAATACAATTCAATTGGACTTTGGACGTTGTTTCCAAGTTGTTTGGCGCGTAAGTTGAGTAAAGGAGCGGAAAGAAGCACGTTTTAACTTAGAAATGGTTCCAATGATGCCAAACTTTCATATCCCGATAAATCTCGACCTTAGTCGATGAGGCTCTCGCGAAGGCCACAAACCATTGCAATTGGGTAATCTCCTATTCGAGCCGTGACGAACAAGGACGAGCAAGGAGCAGCATGTTGTTTATTCGTTACTTTACGTAGGACAAAATTTGATTTGTTGCCTTAAATTTTTCTCACATTGTAAATACCTGCCAAGTTTTATATTATTTAATAAGCAGGGAGCGGTTCACAACATCTTCCACTCAAAGCATGTGTCTGTGACAACTGGTCACAGGTAATTAATATTCAAAATCAAAAGGAAAAAGGTTTCAGATTGTCTCTTAACACTCAGTTTTCTCAGTTCTCACCAAATATTGATATAAAAAAATAGAGAAAGCTAGGATGGAGCACTTTACAACGATATAATATTCATAACTTGTTTTTGTCTGCGACAATATGGCCTAGTGTATTGTTGTTAGCTCCCTTTGCTGAAAGACCAGTATGAAACCAAGAGCTTATGCCTCATACTAGATTGTCTTTTTTCTACAATGTAATAAGTTTTTCTTATCTAACACAAACTCGTAATGTTACTCAACGAACACGAGTAGGTGAGACAAAAATCCACTTCATTGTATAAATTATCTCAGAGCTCACCCTAAAACGACGTCTAGTCAACGACGGAGCATTGAATTCGTCCCTTTCTAAAATTTGACAAGACCGAAGATAAATTGATAAGTTCTTCAAAAGGCGACCTAACACGAAAGGTGTGCGTCAGGATAAAACGGTCATATGCAAATAGCTAATATATTTTATTGACTTGATTTCTGAGAAATTACGGCTATTATTTGGTGTAGAAAACACACAGTATACGTCACACTATTGTTTTTACTGTTTTCTTTTTCCCAGATGTGATGTGATGAAATTCTATTGTGGCGTATACTGTGTCTTCTACACCAAGTAAGAGCCGAAAACTTCCTTTTTTTTAGATCACGTCGAACACTGTGTCACGCAAGATCACGCAAGGGGAGTATTTTCTCATTAAGTCGGTTTATTGGAGATTTGCCTGGATGTGTGTCATAAAATTGCTATAGCGTTTTTCAAAATTTAAATCAACGCAAAATCAATCTGAGTGACAAATTCCATAATGTTAAGGTAATCCCTCTGAAAAGTTATTTTATTCCTGAAAAGTTAACTTGAAAGGATATCATTTTCAGTGAGCCCCCCTTAGCGATTTAGTTTCTCTGCTGGCTAACCTTAGCTTTTTACATCCCCTCATAAAACGTTGCTGCTTTGGAACATAATTATGCAACCATTTCATCAGAAACGATATTCTTTAGTGCTTAAGTTGAGCCAGGACAGTCCATCATCTATCAAAAACTAAAAAGTAAAAAAAAAAAGTTAATCTGTGAACCTTTCGTATTCTTTAACTTCATATACATGCGAAAGACTAATCTTTTATTTATTTTTTTGTCAGTGACGGATTTTTAGAGAAAACGTTGAGATTTTTAGACCTTTTGAGTAGTATAGGAGTCGGCGGCTCAAGATCAGTTTTAGAAAGAACTGGCTCAGAACTGAGCCAACTCTGTATACTACTTTCTATACGATGATGATTATTTTGACATCATGTCATTGCATTTTTGTGGTTTAGTGACTGAAGTCACACGGCAGCACAGAAGCCAAGCTCCGAGCAGGGGATGGTGTGACTAAAAGTCACCTCTCGCTGTGACCGTGGTGGGAACTGAGCTGTAACTCACCCGACCGCGACAGGATACAAATGACTCACTTTTTGTTTCACGAGCATGATACAACGCAATGAGTGCACACACCGCCTGGCGTCAGATAATGGTGTCAGATCGGGCATGATATAGGCGCCACAGAGCGGATATTGCCCTTTTTTTCTTATTTAATCGTATACAACGGAGTGACGTTGATGATAAAAATTTAATCATTTAATGGAAAATCATAACTGATCTGTTGTCCTTGCCATTGCGTAGCATTCACAGAATAACCGGAAGTTGGTGATCTAAAACATTGTGGATTTTCCCGAGGAAATAAGTCATAAACAAATAGAGAATAATACATGGACGCACGTAGATAAGCAATTTCTCTTCGAGTGTTTAACTCAATAGCTCACTAGTGAGCGCAGCGAAACGAGTCAGATGTCGAGTTGAACACGAGAATTCGCAACTTCCTATGCCTCATGGTCAAACGCCTCTTTGAATTTTTCCCCGTACTCCTGTGCCAGCTGTTTAAAAGCCAAAACTACATTGTCAGTTTCAGGATAGACACTGAGCTCTTCCAGTGAACAACTGCAAAAAAGAAAATATAAACATGTCATTTTCCTGGTAACTTAATCAAACAACAGTAATTGTGAAGTGTCACTGAACTGTGTACATTACTAATGGTAAAAAAGCTACACTTTCTTTCAAATTGCGAGGCTTTGTGGTAAAGGAAAATTAGTTTACATTCCACAATAAGTGCTGAAATTTAAAATCATACTTGGAAATAAATCTGCAGTGTGTAATTCCTGGACTAAAAAAGGGAAAAAACTAAAGCTCTGATGGCTGACATGGCAATGTCAACAAAGCTATGTTTTAGCCACTTTTTAATGTGCAATAGATGTATGAACAAGCTATAATGAGGAAAACTTAATATAGAAGCACATTTGTTCAATACCTTGGACAGTGTTCCATCACAATACAGTCACCTTTTTGACCCCAGCGTGTTCTCTAAAAATTAACAAGAATTACCTGATTGACTTGATAGTCAGGTAAAACTCCTTGAGAGCATCGAAGACATCGCCAGCTTGCATTCTGTGAAATCAGTGCACATGGTAAAACTCAAAAGCAATGTTTTCAAGATTCAAAGAGATCTGGAAATGAAAAAACTACCTAGCAAGAGGAGAGTACCTTAAACAAAATTGACAACTTTTTTGTAATCTAACAATTTCACGTGAGGAAATTTAAAAATAAGATTAACTAAAAGAAAGAGAACGGTTCAAATAGGGGAAGACTGATGCTTATTTACAAGATGCTTTTTTTCCCAGCACATTGAATAAAAAAACTTTGTTACTCTCTTACCCGTTTTCTTTCTCAATGACTTTGGGGGATCCATGCTTGAAAAAATCCAAAGCATAAGCATTCAGGGGAAGGGTATTCTTGACTGGGAGAATGGGTACAAGATTCATGTCAGTGTAGATATCTTGACGAATGATCTAAACAACACAAAAAAATATCGAGGGTCATCTAATTTCGTTGTAAATCAAAAGTTAACAAGGATCAATGAATTCCTTTTTCAGCTCTTGGAAAAGCGAAATGCCATAGACGATACCTTTCAAGGCAGAGTGTCACCAATAAGCCTAATACCGCTTTCACATCAAAGCTTATACATGTTCTAAAACTATTTTTTGTTTCAAACACGGTTTTAAACAGTTTTCTTCATAGAGGCTGCTAAAACCAGAGTTCTACTTCAAGTTTGGGACGTTGAAAATACAAGTTAGTGACTACTTGAAACCTAGCTATGGAAAATTCAGTTTTTCATTTCCCTGTATCTGATTTTCATTCAATTAAACCTGGTTCAACTAAACACGTTTTTCTGGTGGGAATGGGGTATATTGTAGATTGTAGAGACATTTTGTCCTGATTGTCTGCTTAGAAAGAGCCCCCGAAGAGAGACACCCAAACGTGACAAACGAGAGGATCATTTTTCACCGTGAGTAGATATTTAAGTGGCTCTTCCTCGCATTCATCCTCGTCACTGTTAACCTCATCTTCACTTTGGTCATCTGTTCTTTGGCTTGAGGGATGCAACTGGAATTCTGTATTTCCTGATAGCGCAGCGAAAGAGGAACAAGCCGAATACTGAATAGAAGAGTTCGCAAGGACTTTGATCATATCGTTCTCGTCAATGTCATCAGTGCTGGCTTTTTTGGGAAATTCTGCAATAGAAATAATTAACTGTATTCGCTGAATAATACAGGCATTTTGAGTTGTACTTATTTTTAATCTATAGGAGGACAGACGCACTGATAAAATCACCATTTGCTTTTTTTTTATTATATGAAAGAAACACTACAGATTCCAAAGTCTCCGTACTTCTGTTGAGTAAAAGATCATAGATGAGGTCACATTGTGGTCAGGACATCAGTGACTCTCGATAGACTGCACTTCGTGTGCTACATTTTTCTTCTAACCACACTTCGACCTCATCTGTGATTTATTACTGAGCAGACTCACGGCAACATGGAATCTCTTTATCGAAGTGACATTTTCTCAGAATATACATTTCAATTTACTGTGCAAGCATCAAAATTTTGCAAAAAAGAATACGCATTAAGTAATTCTTACCTATTCCTGATAAAGGGAGTTTGTTATCCTCTCCTCTGTCTTTCTCCAGCCACTTAGCCACTGTGGCAAGGTACTGACTAAACACATGGGTGACTTGACGGTTGTAGCTTTTGACTGCCTTGACAAATTCATTCGGGAGATCCTCCAAAATTACCTGCGTTTAGTCCAAAATCCTAACGTTTCCATGGTTTGTACATTTAAGAAGCCTAGCAGTCACACGCTATAAAATCTATTTTGACGTGCGGGAGGGAAATTCATTAGTTTTGGTAAAACTGGTTTCAGTTTTTTTCCAGTGCCTTGTATATCCTGCATTAAGTTCACGACCACCTTCCAAGACTTCAAATGAAACTTTTAAAGGAGCGCAGTCTAGAGCACATTTTTGTGAACGTGGGTAAGTACAAAATAACGTACCGAAACTAAACTTGTTTTCAAGATGAGCCCCTCCTCAATTCGTGCTTTACAACACACCAATTCTTAGAACAGATCAATAAATCATCCAAGGGAAGGATATGCTTACTTTTGAAGAAGATGGAGTCCTCAGCATGAAAGAAGGATGAACATAAGTTCTTCCAAATAAGTGGCTCAGAACAAGCACCATTTTCCTCATAACATCTTCGGAAAATTTACCTGTCACAGTGAAAAACATAATTAACGCAAATTGAAACGCGAAGTACGGATGCAAAGTTTGCCAAAGAGAAATACGCCGGCGTTAACAATAGAGTTAAAAAAGACTCTCCAGAAAAAAATCAGAGGCGTAGTGGCCTGACGGTTAACGCACTAGACTTTGGGTAAAGAAGTCTGGGTTCGACACCTGGCTGGGTCATAGTGTTGTGTTCTTGGACAAGACGTTTTATCTTCACAATACTTCTCTCCCCCGAGAGTATACCTGATTAGCGGGGAACTGTCGGGGAAGCTGCGAATTAGCTGTAGCAGATAGACATTCCATCCAGAGAGGATTAGTAATCATTCTACACACTTTATATATACAAATCCGAAATAAAGTGTGGCACCTTGTAGGCCAATCGAGAGCAGACTTAACCTACCAACTAACGTAAAGAGGTCCCTTAAAGCCAGGCGACCTTACTCCCTAATACGTTTCCCGGGCCTCCTTTGTTACCCCATCGCTCTAAGCTAGAGGCAAACGATACAACATCTCATCTTATTTGTTGTTAGAGGCCGCTTCACGTTATAAGGTACATACAACATTTGCCAATAAAACGTCAAATATGCATAATTTTTAAGTTCAGAGAAGAACTATAGCTGTGAAAGGTAAGCAGCAAGGGCGAAAGAAGACTACAGTTTGGACTAAAAAACGACCAGGCAGGACAGCTGATCGAGAAATGTTACAGTTGAGAGAAAAAACCCTTCGATTTCTCAAGTTAGAGACGTTTTCCCCTTTTTTTATGATTTTACAAACAATCGTTTTCCAAGGAATCGTTTTCCCTGAGTATCTGGAAAGTGTGTTCCTTCCAAAAAGCTCTAAAAAAGTGTCATTGAGCCAATCAATCGTCCAGTTTGAAAGGAGCTACGGGCTTACCGTTTGTCTCTGGCTGACACAGCTTGTGGAAGAGACCACATTGTAGAAAACTGACTAGGGCATAATTGGAAGGTTCATGGTAGTGAAGATGAGTTGTCAGTCCGGCCATTTCCTGTGGAGCTCCGGTTTTTTTGTTTATAAGAGACTGGAAATGAACGAGTAATTAAAGGCATCGGTTGTAAATCCATTCGTGCCGGCTTTCGACTAGCCTTAAAATTCCACTTACTAGATGTTGATTTGTCACGTAGCGTGATCAAATTATGGTGTGCTAAGCACACTAAACTCTGGAAAGTCCTCTCCCTACTCTTGTGAGAGATCGCAACTCACTAAATATACAGAAAGGATAATACTGTGCAGGCAAAACGTTGCCAGTGACTCTTGTATCAACTAGAGATATAAAAAACCTGTGGCCGTACCACTCACCAATCTGATTAAAAGTTCAACGCTGAAGAGGAAATGTAGCTTGATCTGGGTTTCCATTTGCGGGTACTTTCGGCAAATAAAAGGATGAGACAGCAATACTAGGGCCTAAAAAGGACATGTGCGAGCGCACCTTATACTCTTAACATTGTAAACACACGTAAAGTCGTAATTGTGAATTATCTTGTCTTAATTTGATTATGAAGTATATGTATTCAATTAGTTGGGAGTATCTCTTGCGCAAAACAATGGCGTAGCAGAAACTTATTTTTACATAGTTGAGCAATATCGGCAAGAATAGGCTTTCTAATCAAGCGTGAGTCGAGTGCAAAGGGCACACTTACTGCCTGAAGGTAACTCATCTTATCTTATCATATTGTCTATTGAAAAAAAAAGGAAACCATTAAAAATTCATTCAAAAGAGTCCTTCGAAACCTTAGTGAGGGCATCTTTCTTGTCATCTGCCTGGGTTGTCATCAGAAGCAGCCGCAGAACCAGTGAGACAGTAATGGGGAAGTTGCCGACAAGCTTTGGGATATTTGCAGTCATGAGGCGTTGAATTTTACGGTAAGGAATTCCAAAGAAAATGACATTTCCCACGGGATCAAAACCTCTCCGACCCGCCCTGCCAGACATCTGAAAATGACAAATAAAGCCCTGGGTTCACACTCGTGGTATTATTACAGCTATTACGGAAAAGATTGTTCAGTGACACGTGTAAGATGTCAAAAATTATCCTTCAAGCATTTGATACATACATGTGTATTGGACGCTATGAAGCTTATTCACCACATGTGTAAAGGGAACATCGTTATGCAGGGGTTTCAAAAACGTTTCCCATAAACGACTCTTGATGGCATAACAGGCGGCTGTGATGAACACGAGAGCCTACTCGTAGACTAAACAGACAACGGTGAGAGGTTTTATAGGCAGCGGTAGACCGACGGTAATCGACTTTCATTGAAACCCCTGCGTTATGCTATCCAGGGAATGAAAGAGATACATCGAATGAACAATTTACAAAATCGCCAACAATCATGGAAACGTTTCACCACAGAAGTTTCGAACAGCGAGAACTGACTATGAGTTAAGTTAGATATGTCCCACTTAATTACCTGCCGGTACTGTAGTGAATTTAAGTAGGGCGAGTCTCCAGCAAACACGACTGTCTTACAAGGCATGTGAATACCAAGAGCCAACGTTGAAGTTGAATTAACCACCTGAAAAGGTAAATAAATACTGTAATGCGATGTACTAGATTTCAAAATGTGTGCCCAATCGCATGATCGGTTCTTTAAGGCTTGCCTGCATATAAATTTCCTACCAAAAAGCCTAATCAAACTCTTAGGATGATACCATGAGCAGATACGAGGGAAACACCCCTCTTAATAAGGATCATCGTTTATACTCACCCTTAAGGTGTAAATCTTCATTTGGAATCATACTTTTCGTCAAAATATTCAAAATCAAAATGCTTTTGCGAGTACACCTAAATATGTGTCTATTTAACTGTTTACATACTATTGACGGAATCTTACCTGAAGGTATTTGCCTCTGAACAACATTTCCACTACGGAGCGCTTTTTGGCATTACATCCACCATGATGAAAGCTGATTCCTCGTTTTAGAGCGCGCTTGAATAACGATTTGTCAGAGATGAACCAGATTCTTTTTGTTATCTCTTCGTAACCCTACAAATGAATTAAATCAATCAATTCGCATTTTATCTGATTGTCTTCATAATGCCTCTTTTGATAAGTGCATCAGAAATAATTGCTTTTTTCAAATGTGTTCAGTGGCATTTAGCCCTTGCAAGAGGACATCTTTGTTTGGCTACCGCCAACATTTCATAATAATAATATGGAGTTGTTCCATTGTTCCAAAAAAACAGCATTTTAGTTTGCGATTTAAAGAAGTAAACTCAAAACCCGATCTTCTGAGTAAAAAAATGAAAAAAAAGTGGCAAAACACCAGTTTTGTTATCGAAACAACATTCCTTTGCTTCCTACCTCTTTTCCAATCCCAAATGTAAATGCCAATGAGCACTCTGGTAGAATCTCATCCACGACTGAAATAGAACCACTCTCATCTTGCTCATCCGGTTGGCTGTTTAATCTGCTTGGAGAGCAGTTATGTCTCGTAAAAGCAATAGGAAAAAAGCAAACGACAACAACAACAACAACAAAGCCCTCGTTATTACCACGTATTACCATGCCGTCGGGTCAATATTCCTCCATACGGCCCTCACGCTCGGTTAATAAGAAGTTAATATACAACAACTCAAGCTCTGCTACAGAAGAACCCCTTGAACTTAAAAAGATACTTTGGAAAACCGTCCAAATAAAAGAATGAACAATAAATGTACGAAAAGGAAAAAGGCAAGTCACAAAGGTTGTACACAACTGTAGTTTCACGATCATAAGTTGAACAAGGCAGAAAAATCACTGAACTGACTACCTTTTCTCTTTTTCTTTCTGTAATTCATCTCTTTTTCTCTGCAACTTTTTTTCAGCTTTTTCTTGCCTCTTCTGTGCAAGTCTTGATTCTTTTGTGTCGGCCTCTCTTCGCATAATTACTTCCTTGTTTTCTAGTTTCTGAGCATAACTGAGGGCCAAAACTTCGCAGAGTCTACGATCATCACTATGAAGAAGAATTACACATATCTTGACATTGACATTTGGATTTTCTTCACGGATATTCGTTCATTTACCCTTTACACCGTAATATCAGTACGCATATTCTTCCTTAGACATTTCCTTAGATGCTGATAAGGAGAATTTGTTTGCCAATCAAAGGGTTCCTTCCTTAGCGACTATTTCCTTTACGCTCATGACCTTAGTATGTGATTCAATAGTGATATTTTGACGAGAAATTAGATGATAGTCACTCTTAGGATTTTAAGAGTTAATGAAATGTTATCCAAGATAGATGGAAGCCCCACAAAACAAAATAACAAAAAATACAACATTAGGAGAGCCTGGAAGGTAGCGGTTGAAAGCAAAATAATCACAGCAACGCTCAATGTTTCAAAAGCTGACGCTCAACCAGTCGACCTGTAGGCCTGACAATAACCAACAGTTAAATTTAACATACAGTTACGATCCACACTAGAAACGATTGCATCGTGGCGCAGACATCAATATTTCATGATCAATGTACTTTACCACGATGAATAATTATGGACTTGTTGAAATAATTGCGGGAAAATTTAGGTTTCCGTCATTCATTTAACACGTTCCCTATTCTCATCACTAGTCTTCTTGATATTGAATTCAGTTGATATTGTAAGGAGAAATTCTCTCTCGGTCACTCATGGGTGTTAAAGGGTTGAGTAAGATCTAGTGTTGTTCATTAAAGTTGACTCTTAATAATTCTCATTTACCTAAATACCAAGGCAGGCAGTTTCTCCTGGGCTTTGAGTTCGTTGATAAGTTTTTCAAAACTTTTCTTTATGAATGGTTTACCATACGAAGTCATTCTCTGTTCACCCCATTGTTCTTCAGTTGACGAATGAATTTCCAAAAAAACTGAGTTCAAAGAATTAATAACTGACTGAACCTAAGAAAACAAAAACAACGATCAATACACAATACAACTAGAGCCTGTATCCTACAAAGTGCGTGTTTTGTTTTTATTGTTTGTTAAAAAATTTGTTTGCATTTGTTTTTGAGCATGGTTATGCGATGCGAAACAAAAAAAGAAAGACTGTCAATAAATGAATAAGAAATATTTAAAACTGCGGATTGATAATTGGAAATGAGAGACATCAATGCAGTTTTGAAAGCTAATCAAGCAGTAATGAAAATAAAGCCTGAAAAATGCAGGCATGTACAGGATATGAACCCCACGACCCCTACGTTTTTACCTTTGTCAACTCTGTGCTGTCTGCCCAAGACTTGAACTCCCTCTTCAGGTCTCTCTCGTATTGCCGAGCATGACGCTTTTGGATCAATTTATTTTCCAGGAAATATGTTTCAGGACAAAGATGCTGCCGAGAGAAATTTTACTCACATTAACCATTGTTTCTCCACCGGCATTTACAAGATTGAAATATTAATGAAAAATGCGCTGACCTGGAGTGATTCACAGTCTGGCCACACACTAACCATAGTGTCATACAACTGCAGAGACTCTTTTGGTGTAAGTGCCATATCACCTGGAAAACCATTTTCTAAAAGCTGTTTGTGTAAGAAAAATAGCTTGTGAGACTCTTGGGTAAGTACCTCGAATTAAAGGGAGGGTAGCGTAAGGGTTACAAATCCATGGATTTTGCCATATATCGGACTAGCTTTTGCCTAGCTTTTCGTCTAAACCCTCAGAACTTGACAAATAGATTCCATGTTGCCATGCGTCTACTCAATCATGGATCACAGATGACGTCAAAATGTGGTAAGAACAAAAAGTACCACACGAGGTGCAGCCGAGTTTGCTCTTGATATGCTTACCACATTTTGTCGTCTACTGTGATCTACGGCTGTACAGAGGCATCGCAGCATAGAATTTATTTGAGCGACATGTCGGTGATGGTGACGTCATTTATGGGTCTGTCCTCCCCGTGTATAATTTTCCCCGTGTATAGTTTTCCCCGTGTATAGTCCTCCGCAAGTATATTCATCTTAGCATATGAACTAAAACCTGATTCCATTCTTTAATTAGTGTACGTGCTATTGTTAACTCTATCGCATCTTGGGACTGACATCATGCACCAAACCGTTTGAAAGACAGCAACTGAAATCTGCAGTGCGACTCAAGTATTCCCAAAGCTAAATTTGTTGACTAATCACAGCTGATAAGTTCTAGACATGCAAATTGTATTCTGGTCGTTGATAACCTGGGCACTGTAAGTACATGTCGCGAAAGACAATAGCATTCTGAGCGATGAAGAAGAAAACTATGCACTGTTATGAGAATTGAATCGAGATCGAAGGCAAACGAATAAACGGATGTCAAAAGAAAGAACACATTACTTAAATTATTTTAGAAGCATTATAAACAAAAGAATAAAATATCACAGGTGTAATAATGCAGTTTCCACCTGTAGACTGAGGGAAAATCAATGAAATCGCGATTATTTTCATCGGTGAATTGCAACGTTATGGTTCACTTTGGTTGTTGTCTTATGTCACTAACAGTAAACTGATAAAATCTTGAATAAAGGGGGTAACCTTCTACAGAAACTGTGGTACTGCGTCAGTGGTAGTATAACAAGATAATTTGTTTTTACTAACTGAGGTGATAATGTAAATTGGCCACTTTAAAGAGTTTCTAAAGCTTACAAATCTTGAGTGTACTAAAGAAGAATCAAACGCCTGACCTGTTTGAAACCTAGCTGGGCACATGGATGAAGTCTCACGAACTCCTTGCTGTCGCTGTCGTTGTTCACATGTTGTCCTTCGTTATTAGGACTTGGAAGGAAAATGCTCTTCTCCAGATCGGAGTATCTTTCTTCAAATTGAACTTAAAAATAGGCAAGGAATCAGAAGAAATCAATGAAAAAATAAGAATAAGTAGAGATAAGTTCCTCAGTAAAAACTGATATGGTGTGTCACTATAAAAGAAAGAAAATTTTTGACTTTATGCTTAACAAGAAGTAGTATACCTTCGCGAACCGTCGTGTCGCAAATATCTCCCGAAAAAAAAAAAACAAAAAAATAAAAAGAAATAGTTCTGAGTTCAAAGGCCGTCTTGAGAGAAAGTCTATCAACAGCATTATCGACATTAAACTGTTTTGTTTCCGCGAAATAAGAGGAGTAAATGACAAATAGGTGAAAAAGCACTCAAGGATAAGCATTTCAAAGTATTGTTTCCCACCTAATCTGATCCGATATGACTCCCTCAGAGTTTCATTGTTTTTCCTGTCCTGCTCTTCATGAAAGTCTTGGGCGGCTTGCAGCCAGCTGTACGGAAGAGAATGAATGCTTTTAACCTCTGTTATCAAAAAGAAAGTCATAGCAAATATGATACTTCTAGTAGTACAACAGAAGCCTTCAGGAGAAAAACTGATATCTCTTCAATTCTTACAGTCTTAGATCCTCTGGATTTCCAATGGTTGCTGATAGCGCCAGGAAGGGACAGCGAATCATAAGAAGGAGATGCTCCCACACTTCAGCTCCAGTTTCTGAACCAATACAGTGAACCTATGTAGAGCGTCACAGAATTTACTTCAGTCTGACTTATTTCCCTTAAATTATACACTTGCGGATAAGGGTTAAAATAGATAACTTAATATCAATTAATCAATCAATTATTTATTTTAACACGTCTCGTCGAGGAGCTAATAATTCGTTCAAAATAAGAATCTGTATAAATAAGATCTTTACTAATTAGAGCTAACATATAATATCACACCATCTTAAAAAAACTCAGTAAGCATACAACAACTAGCAATAAATACGTAAAATATAAAAAAGCTAAATCCTAAACCAAAAAATCTATAAGATAGCTAAAAACGTGACGAGACTATAAGACACGTTCTAAAAGCTACAATCTTACAATTTACTTTTAAAGTCATTTACATCCCTTGAGAGACATACTTGAGAGGGCAAACTGTTCCATGACTTAGTTAATGAAACTGCAACTCATAATGAAACAACACTCTATTTAAATACGAAGTACGAAGGAAACAGACATGTAGGAAGAAGCCTATAATAGCTTTTTCAATAAACTCATTTACTTAGCTGAACAAACAAGCTCAGCGAAACTGCATGTTCAACAAACGTTCACTTGTTGGCGTGGCAACAGAAGGATATGATGCTCTTTTACCTCATCAAAAATAACGTATTTTACGTTCTTCGTCCAATGCTGTCTGTGCGGAGAGAGAAAGAGGATCTCCAAACACTGGGGGACTGTAACAAGAATCTGTAGGTAAAATGGCAAACAGAAAGGTACTTTTGAAATCTCATTCTGTATTAGGATTAAATTTTAAAAGTATTTACCCAACAATTGTAAGTTTCTAAGCCAGTGAGATCTGAGGCATTTTCTCATACTTTTGCAAAAAAGATGAGTTGATCCAAGGGAAAACGAAAGTTACTAAGCCTACCGATTTTCAAATTAATTTCGAGTTACCTGAGAATTTAGTGCGTTGTGACAATAGTCCCTCGTAAAAACACCGAACACTGATCTACCACCAGGCATCTTTTTTGTAAACCGCGCATAAATTGTAGCAACGACTTGATTGACCAAAGCCTTAAGGGACAGTAAGAATTGATTAGTGATCATAATGATACAGTAAATAAAATAAGACAACAATATTGTCTTGCTGTTTCTTTAAATTATTCTACATGGGTTCAAAACTTAAATGGGATCTTATTGACTCTTACACGGTTATTCGAAACTTGACCAAGGTGAGAAATGAATAAATTTGAAAGTTTATCAAAATGTTGGCTTCATAGGGCTCTTTTGTGACATGCATTGATGATGATCAAAACTAAATAAGGATAGCTTTTCTACAACACATGTACATACGAGTGGATGTTATTCAACTCAACAAACCAGACAAATTTTGGCTGAGATTTAGGTGAGAATTTGGACTTTGAAGCACGATCGGATGAAGTGGGCCCTTCAGCCATTGAAGGGGAAGCATGAACCAGGAATCATATAAAGTTTCCCTGCACAAATAAAATGTATAAAGAAAATCATGCCGCTGACCGCGTTTTGAAACTCCAATGAGTTACCTCACCTCGTCACCTTGTATCCGAATGTGCTAAACTGCGGAGGCCACATTCTGAATCTCGCTTACCAACATGGCCACTTACGTTCACTCCACTGTTGGCTCTCTCTCTTATACGTACAACTAAAAAACATTGTCTCAGCGACTACCACACAGCATATATCGGTGAAAGGCGTGGCGCGGTTATGGGTAAGTGGCCAAGTTATTAAGTCGTTTTTCGCCTATGGTCGAATTTTAAAGACAACTCTAAAGGGCAAGGTCATTCAATTGTACATTCTTTGGACTCTCAAACTTTGGTGAGTGGAACATTTCTATATGTTTAATCAATTGGTTTTTTAGCACACTTTTCCTTGAACCCTGCCACGATACATAACTAGGCCGGGATAGTCTCCTTACAGAAAGAAAATGTCAGGGAATGCCACTTTACCTTTGTCGGTGCGACATAGACCACTACACTATCATCGTCTTGCCTCAGAACTTTCTCCATGCAGTAGTAGGAGGCGTAAGTCTTTCCTGAAGAAGTTGGTGCTACTATCACAGCTGATTCATTGTTATCGACAGCATCGAGAAGTTCGCGCTTCGAATTGAATAAAAGACACTTCGGCGTTAACGTAGAAAATTTCCTAAGCTTGCACAAAGTGATACCGAAAAAACCGCCTCGGAAGGGCACTTACCATAACTTTTATAACTATTATGACCATATTTTTTTATTACGTATGGAAAAGGATCTATATTCATGACCGGAACTAGCGTGACTGTCTAGCGTTACAACCGGATATCACATTTAGTATTCATATGATTGACAAGTGAAATTGTAATAGGAGACAGAAGAGTATTATGAAAGAAGGAGGTTTTTCAGGACAAACAACGCAAACAACACGAGGATCGTGAGGCCAGTTATTTTGTAATTTTTCGTTTCATTTTTGTTATTAAACCCGGGAATTGTCAGTACATCGTGAGTGCTTTTGTGTGCCGTACAACTTCGTGACATTCATGCATACCTGCCATGTATCCGGGATAAAATGTTCAACCCGAGAGTCCGGATCAGTTCTCTCTTCCCGTTTCAACAAATTCCCCATGTGTTCAAGTTGGAATCTGGTGCTTGTAGTGTGAACAAAAAGCCGTTCATTCTAGGTTCAAAAGACATTTCTGTCTAAGAATTCTGAGGTATTCATCATTCTTACCTCATTGGTCTCTAACAATATCTTTGGACAAAAGGATATCTTTTAAAAAAATGATTTTATATTATTATCAACAGTTAAGAACTATGTCACGGTAAGCATGTATGCAAATTTTGTTTGATAATCCTTAACATGTTCATTCACATGTCACATGTCTCCCGCCATAGGCTTCTTTCCTGTAATTTACTTTATTGCAGTTCATCTCCGATGATCATTTCTTCACTAGTAACTTTTATTGTTTTTTAACTGTAATCTCGAACGACATGTAGTGTATAACGGTGTCTATGAGATTCGAGATTCTTTAAGAGTCTTTCTTCTTTAGAGTCGTTTGAATTATAATGAGAGTAAGACTGTAAAGACTACATTTGAGCAAGATTCGCATGCAAACTTTGAATAGTTTATATGAAATGGTATATATTTACCTTTCTTTCATGATCTGGTGGCATCTCATAAAACAAAGGAACAAGGTCGTCAAATCCCAACTTTCGCATTATTTTGGCTAGTTTCTTTCTGTCGTTATCATTCAGAAACCTTGATAACTCTTGAGAAATTTTGTGGACACTTTCCATCAAAAGTACAGTATATTTCACATCATTAGATTCTGGGTCAGCATCTCCTAGTGAAAAAAAAATGGTAATTTGTTAAACTGCAGTGCAACTTTAATATCCTTGTCGCGCGAATGCGCTCTTAGATTTTTTACTTTTGAAATTCCATCCTTGTTCTCCCAAGAGAGCTTTTTCAACGCGTTTAAAGTCGCAGGTAAATTTATTTATAGAATCGAAGGGATTTACATGAAAAAACGAGATCCGATCCCAGAAAACTGACTTGGAACACCAACATGCATAAGGCCGCCTTCCCAATTTACCTACCGTAATGTCTTGTGAAAACACTTTGTTTTACTAAGACTTACTTGTCTGTTTCCAGGCTTCAAAGCAACTGTCGACTTTTGTCATGAGTGCGTGAAGACGAAGTTTCGGAGATCTAAAAACTGACAGATAGCTATCAACTAATTCAAGAGCATTGCTGAATTCATCTCTCTTCAGACATTTTTTGATGTCCATCATAATGGTATCCCAATTTGTTTGATCTTTCGATGCCGCTTTCTCTGTTAAAAAAAAAAGTAAATTTCAATCCTTTTTATTGAAATCAACGTCTTGATCATGTTAGTTACAAAACAAGCATCCCTTGCAAGAGCACAGGTATTTTGTACTCAGGATATTTAATCTCGTAATCTCTATATCCAGGGCACAGAGGCACGGTTTTAATTTAATTACCGTGGAGGCCAGAATTTGCTCTCTTCCGTAATTTTGTATTGTCGCAAATTTCAGTAAACTTGAGAAGATCAGTTCCTTACTTGTCATCTTATCACGCTTGCTCCTTACTTATGGCACATAGAAGTAATACAGCGAAACAGTTACGAAACGCATGAAAGTGATGATATTTCATGGACATGATCCTTTTCAGAGGTACAACTATATGTAAACGACTTACTGGTAATTTTTTTAAGATTTTCCTCTTTTATTTCCAAAGCCTTTTTGCCCTGTAAAAAAATCAAAAGTGAGTGTGTTTCTTAAGACAAGTTCGGAAAACACCTTTCTCGGACTGGAATTTCGAAGTGATTGTCGGGTTGACTCTTCAAATATATCTAATTAAATTGGCTACTCTTCATTCCCAGGGAGGGTAAATATCAGTTTCCCTCTAACAAACAAATTAACAAAACAAAACACAAACAAACAAATGAGAAAAAAAATCATGCAATACACCCAAAATATCTCATATCTTATTCGAATAAAACGTCCCAAAAATGTTAAAAAATATTGTTATGAAGGACTAAAAACAAACTAACCTGTTTACTTTCCTTTCTTTCTACTTTTTTCTTCTTTGACCCTGGCTCTTGGACAACAATGACTTTTTGTTGATCAGTGCCACCAACCAGTGAATTGCCGTAGAATCTTTGAAAGCGAATATATTTCTGCTTAGCTCGAAAATACTGTTTCTTTTGACAAAGATCTTTTGGAGGTTTTTCTGAAAAGAGATGTATTGACAACATAATTTAAAGATGTGCTGTGATTTCATTCTGTGAAAACAGTTATTTGCTGGTTAACTTTCAATATCAATAAACTTGGAGGTATTTTACCGGTTATAGATTTCTTTGTTCTGTCGTAATCATCAGAAAGAGGCTTAAGAGAATGCCAGTGGTATCGTTCATCAAATTCTCGGCCAACATTAGGTATCTCGTCATCACTCATTTCTCTGCGGTGCATGAACAAACCAAGCATTAAATAATATCCCCAAAACAAACAAACAAGCAAACAAACAAAAAACAAACAAACAAACTGCATAATAAAATAAAACAGCAATCGTTTTCAGGGTTTCTGTTGAGTTCACTTGACTAAACTCATCAATTCAATTAGTCTTGCATCCTTTCGGAATGTTTGGAAACTTGTTGAGCTCGTAGTTGATAATAAAAGGGGAAAGTTTCTGAAGCACGACAAATTTCTTATCGTTGCGTTTTTCGAGCTTGACCGTACATAAATTAGCATTCCAATTGTATTTATATTTACGACAAATAGAAACGCTCAATCAATGAATAAGTCATAATTTGTGGAAACAACAATAACAAAAATTGTACATTGACAGTAACGCCCAACATAACCAGCAGCATCACTGTTCTAGTCTCTAATGTTTCGCGGCTTTGAAAACTGCGCACCTCGTTTAACTTTGTTAAAATGCAGTCGCAAGCCACACGAACTGCGAGTTTAACGGACACAAATGGACAAGGACGAGTCGCGCAGACTTAACAAGTTCCCCCAACGAGGAAAAACCAAGCATAAAGCCACATGAAAGACAAGGCGTTAGCTTTTTATTATCTTACTCTGACATGGCGTTAATTTCTTTCCGAATGCCTCCAGCATAGTCATTCACAAGATCACTTTGCACCTCAGTAAGTCGCCTAAGCTTCATGGTGGAGTCTGCATCAGAACGCACAACCGAAACTGTTGAGGCAGAAAAAAAATGAGCCCCTAAATGTTTTCAGTTCTCGTCACCTAATTTGGCGGTTCAAAAATATGAAATTAATTCTTCAATTTTCAAAAATTAAAAGAAACTATCCCGCCTACAGCTGTATCGGATGTTTAACTTCTTTTTGAGGGAACAGAGCCAAAATGGCTTACTATTTAAGTTATTTATTTGAATGATCTAATATCCGACTTGTTTTGTCTTTTTCGGTTCAGATTGACTTCAAAAGTCCTAGTAAGACTTTTTCAAGACTTTTTTTGTCAATTAATCCATTTACAGATATGAGACAAGTTCAAGACTTGCACCCTTACGTGCAACACTGCGAAAAAAAAGTAAGGTTGAACCATGTTTCCATGATCGAAAGAAGAGTAAAGAAGGAAAATTCACAATCCATGTCAACTGAAACGAAAAACAAACCCTTCAATTAGAGAACGTAGATATAAATTAAGTAAAGGAGATATAAATTAGTAAATTGATTTGCACACAAGAATTTGTTGGAAACATTTCTCACCAACTGCCGCATGAAAATCTGCCAAATCCTCGGCAAAGGGAAAAAACTCGGCCTCTAGAGAATGGGATCCGCATGACCTGTTTACAACATCTACAACATTTTGCCACGCATCTTCTACTTCTCTGATGATATCTCCTGGTAGATTGAGTCCTAATACCAATACAAAACAATTATGAAGAAGATATAACTACAGGTGTAGTTAAATTTGGATAGTTACAAGCTATTGCACGCATACAGCTCAGTGAAAACTGTAGATATGATAAACACGGCTGTAGCTAACGTGTACCTGTGTGCTCTCCCACCAAAGTAAGTAAGTAGAAAAACAACATAATGAACAAGAACGACAAATATATCCAAACAAAACATAACAAAACAATAAATCTAATGGTCCTAACAATCCTAAAGAATTCTATTTCTCCATCAGGAATTTCCCACGCGCAATAAACGCGCTCATTGACTTATCATTTTTAACTGGTGAATTGCGCATGTGCAACACGAGTTATAGCGGGTAGTGGGAAAATGCGGTCGCTCGATCGCTCGTTGGGCTGTAAACATTATACAAACGAGGTACGCTCGCTACCTACTTTTAAATTGCTGTCCATGTTTTCTAAAGCTCCTTGAATTCGTAAGACCTTCTTAAAACAGTCTTATTTTGTGGACAGAAAGGTTTGAAAGCTCAGCTATTCACAGATTTTCTGTGCAAAATTGCACGCAAC